TTACTTGCTGCCAAGTGTTGCCACTTCTCCGTAAAATTATTCTCCCAACTATTTTTGATATAACTGATGACCCTGCTTCAAGTAAAACAAGTCGATATAAAACTCATGCTTCGAAATTCCCTCTAAGCAATGGCAATAATTATAAGTGACAAACACTAATGCAATCTTATAAATACCTTCGAGATAACTTAGCCTTCGTAGCTTCGGACCGCGCGCTACCATCTTTCGCCGTCCCTTTTTGGAATGACAACCACTCTTTTAGTCTTTCTTTGGTAAGATTCCGTGGGCAACTACCACTAAGTAACTTTACTTTCTCCTCAGCGGAAAAGAAGGCTGCTTCTGGAAGACTTTTGGCAGAGAGCATAGCTTTTTAATCACTTTCCCATACAATTGCAACCAAGTCTGATCAATGTTGACCCGATAGCCTCGCTTTGATGTTTGCTCACAGAAATACCGCTGGATCGTTTGGGTGGCCTACTCAACTTCGATAAGAGCCATACAATTATTTTCATTGGTTGAGGTCACATGGAGAAAAACTATTATTAGACCTGACGGTAATAAGGCTTTTCTAATTTGAATCAAATGGACACCTCATAATTATTTACATATCAGAACAATAGGAACTTTGTCTCGAACTCTTTCAGGACTAATTAAGAAGAACATTACCCGCTTTCACGATCGTTCGACAGTTTGTAATTGCCACCCGGTCAGTATAAAACTGCGCAAGATAACATGAGAACACGTCGTCGATTCTTCCAATTCGTTGCCTTCGCAAAATTTAAGTTTCGCTATCAGCGATTTCGAAAACCAGTCAAGGTTATGCTCTCTGCTTTAATGCTCTGTTCAATCTGCTTTTATGCCTTCCTGAATAAGCCGGACTCTTCACTCACGCATAACGCTGTCCAAGCCGTGGTAAAAAATGAAGCAATAATGACTCCTGGAAACGTTACACCACGTTTCATCGTTGCTACGGGTGCTCTAAATATTCACGTCTGGCGAGAGGTTTGTGGTTCAAGCATCCAGAATCTGCGTCAATATTTTCTTTTTCCGGATTATCCTGACGAAATGTTCATCAAGTTCAGATTGGTTAAGTTTCAAATTACAGACAATACCATCGATTATGGTCAACGGATTTTTGGCTTTCTTCATCCTCCTCAAAGCGACGAGTACAACTTTGCCATAGCGTCTGATGACGAGTCGG